GTCCCAACACGCCGGTCTTTGGGGTTGCCTAATCTCCCGATTCCAAACGCTGACACCTCGACCAGGGCGATGAGCCCCTTCCCTCGATAAAGAAACAAATTATGACGGAACATGTCAGCAGCGATGGCTGCAAGCTTTTGCGTCCGCTGTGCGCCTACTACCTACGAGTCGATGACAATGAATCTGGGTTTTCGCTTGGAATGTCTTGGGTTTGTGGGAAAGCGCGCGGATCTCTGAAGCCAAGAGGCTTGGCCATCTTGGCTTTTGAATTCACCATCCAACGTCCGCTTGTCAGACAACCACGCCGTCTGAGATAGCCGACATGGTGCCAACTCTGTTTCTCCTCGTCGTCGTCGATGCCACCGTCTCGGCAATGTCCTGTCAAAAGTCGACCCTGGCTGGAAACCTGTTGCGACCCTCACGGACTGGAAAACGCCACTCCTCCGCGGACGTCAGAGTACCTTCCTCATTTCCCATCTGCAGCCCGTCCAATGTGGCGCTCGCTTGTGCCATGGCCTTCCTCCAGAATGTCACCTCGCCATACCGTTTCTCTCGATACGGTCAAGTCTCCATCGCGGGTGGGCGCGGCTAACCGGCCACTTCGAACCCCTCACAGTCTCCATCCTCGTGCGCCTCTCGCCCGCTCGCCGCTAATCCGCATTCATACCGCAATGACGGGCTGACGGTGGCCAGGTCCTCTCAGGATGCACTCGACTGTCGGCTGCCACGATTCCGCTAAGCACGCTCACAAAATATAGCACGGCTGCTCGTGGGACCGAAGCCGTTGGAGGAGCCCACCATCCCCGCGCTGACTGGCTCAATAAGCGGCATTGCTTCTAAAATTGACGGCCAGCAGATGCAGTAGGTCGTACACTACCTAGGGTGAGCAGTCACAGTGAGAGAATTACTGAGGGGTTGTTTATTTGGGGAAGCATTGGCAAGACACATGACATGACATTGTTTCCCCAAATACCATCACTGCAAAGACATCGCGGCGGAAGTGCCTCTTTCCGGGGGGCTGGCCATGACAGTGACAAGATCCAAGCATCTGGGCATCTTGCGCTCCCGGAATGTCGCCGACCGGCCGACCGCACCGTTTTCTTCTTCGCTGCTTACGATCAACGGCACTCCGATAAGCCCGGCCGCCGTTCCGACACCCAACTTTCTCGGCGTCCTGTCCCCTGCGTCCAGAACGTTTCGTTTCCTTGCTAAGGCGACGCACTGTTCACCGCGGGAACAATGTCTGTTCGCCCGCAACGCTCCACTGATCCTCAGAACCCATCACATCACAACCGCACTTTAATTCAGACGCGACTGGAACCTCCCGTCTCCTGACAACCGACCCCGTATTGAACCTTTTCTGCAAAGAAACAGCGATATTCTCTGCCACAACCTCGTTTCTTCTCCAGCCCGTCAGCCATCACGATTCAAACATCGCGAACCTGAAACTCGACGCAGTCACGTCACCGTTACCTCGTCTGGAGATCTGCAATACCACACCGTCCCGTCGGTACGGGCATTTTTTTCTTTCCCCAGGATACGAGCCATCTCTTGCCCTGCCACGTTTGAGATTCCGCGGGAGGCCAGGGGATTTCGGTCGCGGCGGAGAGCTTCTCCCGCGCCTTGTCCACAGCCAAAGGAGAATTCGCCGGTAAAATGGCAACGGTTCCTGGTGCACGAGTCGGCAGAATCCTACCTTGGAACCGGCGGCGGGGCGCAATGAGCCCTGTGTCATCTGCTTCACCTCAGAATGGCAAACTTTATATGCGATCCGGCCAGGCGAACCTCGTTCGCCGAGTCTCCGTCGGAAAGTAATAGCCTTTCTGTTCCTGAATCACGGTGTCGCAAGTGTCGTCAGCGCCGCGAGGCTTGGTCGCTATCGGTTCTCGTCGCAGACATCTCAAATCACTGCGGGCGAGGCGCGGTCATCATCGTGGCCATCTACGGCGTTGATGCTTATTCTCCGGATGATCGGTGTTCCCATCGTGTCTGTCTGCCACCGTGCTGTCAGAACCAGCCAGCGGGTCGCGAAGCCGAGAAGAATCCCCGCCAAGAACAAGGACAAGCACCAACAAATCCTCACCATCCTTGCCCGTAATCTAAACCCCCATGAGCCGATCGCAGACCCGCGACATGGGACGACGGAAACCTCGTGTATATCTCAGACACCAACCGCGCCGCCCGCACCTTCACAAACTAGGCAATCGCACACTTCGAAACCTCGAAAAACTCAATTCATCAACGTGCAGTTTGCGTTGCAATTCACGACTACGTTTCCCAAGTCATTCCCACCTCTAATCGACCTTAACCGTTCTCCAACCGAGGGGAAGCTTTCGTTTCAAACGGCCACTAACTCCTTAGCCCACGTTTCAGACTGTTAAACGCACTGACCAAGTCTTGTACGATTCTCCCCAATTGCGGTGATCTCCCTTACCCCAAAAACGACTCCCAACCAACACGAAGTTATTGTCAGGGGGAAGACCACAATTATGGGGGATCACCTTCCCTGAGGAGCCTGCAAGGTCGTTCGTCCTGACTTTTTGTCGATGTGCGGGTGATCAAACGAGAGATACCCATCCTGGCCGTAAGATGACTTGAACAAACTCTACTCCGTCCGTCAGAGGTGCGATGCGACATGGCAGTGACATTTCGCAGCCCCTGAGTATATCACGATGCCATTTCAATGGTGGAAATGGACAAACACGGGGTCTTGGGGTTACGGATCCCTTCGAAACGGAATTCCTATTTGCCTAGATGCCAGCAGTCTGGAAACAGCGTGCACCCAAGGGGTAAGGCACAGCAGCGAATATCCCAGAATCCGTTTGAAAGATGCGTCCAACATGTCTGCCTCCGTGACAGACCCGATTGTACGGCAATCGGCCTCTGTCAACCGTCCGATCAACGCCAAGCGTTCCTTGCTATCGACAGAGGCGTAGTCCGACGACCACATGGCCGCGAGGCGCATTCTTCCATTATTTTCCGTCTGCCTGGGAGACAGGACCAACATGCGGCCTGTTGGCCTGGCCGTCGGCCGTTGGTTGTTGACCACCCCCCGGATCCTGCGTCGGGGCATTTTACCGACTTCCAGGTTGGGTTGCTCTGTTGGGACCAGGATATAGATTATGGCGAGCTTGGGCCGTAAGCCAAGTTTTTCTCCAACGTATGCCCTCCTGCGGCGCGGGCAACAGGTGGTGTCGCAGAGACGTGTAGCCTGCTTCAGCGACTGACATCTTTTCGATTTTCAATGACCAATTCATGGCGTGGGAGAGGTTCGGAAGAGGCCCGCGACACAGCATTTCCACCAACAAGGTAGGCTGCTCAAGTGAGGGGGTTCGGCGCGCACATCATCCGATTTTGCGAGGCTCACTGCACTGCGCAATGCTGGGCTAAGGCAGAGTCTGCTTTAGTTTGTCTGCACATAATCGAAAGAATGCATCTGTTTTTGCGGTCGATGGTGAATGGTCGCGGCTGTGGTGAGCGCGGACACACACCGCGTCCGTGGACCAATCAGCGGGTGCGGGATGCAACCACCAAGCGCTTATTGCGCATGCCATATGCGGGCTAAGAGGAGGATTGGGAGAGTGGCTTGTTTGTCGGTCGGATTTTGGGCTTGTGGCTCTGTTGGCAGAGATGTGGTGAGTTTATTTTGAATTGGGGACTTGAGGCGAGGGAGGAGGGTGGTCAGCCGCGGTTGGTACGGTGGAGGTGTGGGTGTGGGTGTGGTTTTTGCGGAGGAAGCTGGGCAGATGGAGGGTTGGGAATGGGCTGGTGGTGGTGAGGGCCGCTCCTTCGGACTCTTGGGTTGGGGAGATGGTGGGTGATGGCGGTGAACGCGCTTGTGCGGTTGGAAGGTGCGGTGTGTTGGCGCTAGAGGCGCGATGTTGAGCTTGTTGGAAGTAGGAAGTTGGTCATTGTGGGTGATGTATGCCTCGGGGCGTTTGCTCGTTTGTCTGCTTGGTGTTACTGAATTTTGAATGTATTGTTGGCCCAGTTTTCCGGCTTTGTTGGTTCTATGTTCCGTTTTGAATAGCGACCTCGTGATCCATGGAATGGTGAGCTCCTGGGTCCATCGGCCTCTTCATGGACCCAAGGCGGAATCGTTGGGCGCGCGGATTTCTCTCAAAAGTAACTGTCTTAGGACATGACAGTTTTCGTCTTCTCGTTCGTTGTGAGATCAGATCTCTAAGAGCCAGAGGCGTATTTGGAGCTAGACACAACCTTGTTCGTATTATGATTGACAGTACATCGTGTATGATGTATTCAGCGTTATACTGTTAAGGCGCAAGGTCTCTAACGTCAGGTTTACGTTGTCCCTGAATACTAAAGTAAACAAATATATTCCAACATCAGCAGAGTGCCGCTAACTGTACTATAATAGATGCGAAACAGAGTTGAAGACACAGAAATTATCGCAAGACCTTTCCTATCAGTTCGATGCCAAGTAATGATAGACATAGAACATCCTCGAGTTGGAGGGATTATATCACTTTTGACTCTTTGCGATCATCTCACGGCAGCAATTTAGCGACTTCCAGCCGTGCTTGGGAAGACAGATCGATCTAAGAGTTCCGTACCACATTCTTGAAAATCATATGTCGAGAACATTAGTTGAGATAGAATAGAGATTGCCAGTTTCGAGAAGCGATAGCCTATACGCCCTACCTATCCTTGTTATAACTAATTAGAGGCCTCTCTTTTGCCCTCTAAAGTTATTTATTTAGCTAACGTTAGGAATTCTATGATAGTTGCCTAACTGTTGGCTGCTAGCCGACCGACAGGTGACGGTATGTTCAGGGGCGAGGGTGCGTAGCCCACCCCCATGGGTCCTCGGGGTCGATTCTGTTTTTATCTTCGTCCTGTTTGCGGATAAGCTCCACTATTCCAACGCCGAGATGTGGCGGACGGTCGATTTCTACAGCCGTGAAGCCGTCGTCATTTCGGATACACGGGTCTGCCCCCGCTTGCAGGAGAACCTCGGCCGCAAGGCGATGCCCTTTTTTTCACGCCATGTGTAATGGGGTATCGCCCCTTTCTCCCTTGCAGTTATAATCAACAAAGCATCCTAGTTCAGAATCAAGTAGGACTTGTATCGCAGAGACATTGTCTGCCAATGTCGCTGTATGAAGTGGAGTATTTCCGAAGTCATCGGCTGCATGAACCATCTCCTGATGTTTGAGCAATTCCAACGTGTTGTGGATTCTCTTCTCGTCTTGAACACTGAGATGCAGAGCATTCCAAGAGTTGTAATACAGGTTTCCAAAGTGTCCAGCAAACATGTCAGGCTCCTCGTTGCGTATGCGTAGCGGAGAGTATTTGGCGACATGGCGACGCATCCGAGCAACGTATGTGCCGCTTGAACGCTTTTTGCGCAGCATCTCAAGCTTTATTTCCGAGATATGTCTCATCTTATCTCCGTAGCCTGGAAGTTCTGCTGTGGCGGAAAAGTATAGAAGTGACCGCAGCTCAGACTCAGCGCTGTCACTAGACGCAATATATTCTTTGATCCAACCGGGGATGGATATCAAGGCCGAGGTGAGTGGTGTCATGTTAGAGCAGTCTAAGCTAGTTTTCGAAGCGCCGAACTTCAGTAAAATTTCAAGCACTTGTTCATTGCCCATCATCATGGCTTTATGAAGTGGTGTTTGACCGACGAAATCTTGGAGGTCTACGTTGTATTCTCGGGTTTGAAGATGGCTCAGGCACCACGACGAGTTTCCGCAAGCCGCAAAGTGGGGAAGCGAGAGACCGGGCCTGGTTTTGATGAACTCAGTGGCAAGATCATTGGCTGTATGACTGGTTTCTTCTCCCAGCACATCCAAGGCGAAAACTAGAAGACGCCTATGATCGAAGATGCAAGCAAGACTCGAGACTGCGAGAGTCCCTGGCGACAACAGCTGATATTCTTTCTGCGTAATTTCCATTTGTGAAGATACTCCAGGAGGTTTCGAAGCCATCAGCATGAGATACCATGGTCGCTGTCTCCATTCACCACACGTGATGTAGCTTTCCGCGTGTTTCTTCGTGAAAAGACTGAGGTAGAGGTCGAAGAACTCCTTGCCAACGTCTGTGACCTGGCAGTCAGAGAGACCAGATTGCTGGCATTGCCTAAAGTGATACATCCAGTTCATTGCTGAATAAACCACAAAAGGTTCAAGATTGGCAGCTTCAAGAAGGATAGCTTCAAGAGAACGAGCGTAATGATAAGAAGACTGAAGATTGGGAGACTCAAAATTGGGGAGTTCTTCAGGAACAAAATAGGAATCTCTAGTCTTATCCGCATTGGATATTTTGGTTTGCACGTCATCGACGTATTCTTGTTGTTGAAACTTCCCGAGGGAGAGAAAGGATATGCATGACTCGGCCATGTACTGATGTATGACGTGTTCAGTCATTGAGCCTTGCCACCATCCATGGTCGGCCTCCGTTGTTTCCAAGAGGAATTCCTTGGCTGTCTGATGAATCAAGAAGGTTTGTCCTTCGTATATAGTGACAAATGAGCCGCATTCCCACCTTATCCAAGATCCAAACTCTTTCTCGTCTGGGATATCATCGAGGTCAAAGTTTCGTGACTCAAGTGCATTGATTCGACAGTTGACGGCAGTACTGAGCTCCGCAATCGTAAGCGGTCTCTCCGCAGCCAGTATGAGAGCCAATAGAGTGCGTACTCTCTCCTTCGCTTGAGGCGTGACACTTTGCAAGAGCCCTTCGTAGGTTCGATCGACAGTGTCGGGAGGGTTCCGGAAGATTTCTCGCCATTCTTCCCTGGTACAAAACCTGTTCTTGCGAATGTAGTCAAACATGAGATGCATCCACAGATATGTCCTCTGTTCTGTGCTATTCTCGATCAGTCCTGTGCGTATGATATCCAACGACGTCGCAGGGCCGATATCAGGCATTGTCGTTTCAAGCTTGTTCAATCGATGGTCCATCACTTCATCACTGTCGCCGTCTAAATGGATCTTGTTGGAAGAGAAATCGGCGAACAGATTGACAATCTGTGGATATCCTCGGGTTGTCACAATAAATTTGGCGCCTATTGTTCGGTGGTTCTTGGTGATATAGTTTTTGAGACTGTTGATCAAGCCATCCCGTTCAGTTGGATCACACTCATCAAGTGCGTCTAACACGCAGATGATTCTTCCCGCACCTTGCGCTCTTGACAATTTGTCGAATGTAGGCCACAAATCCATGTTGGAGATGCCAGAGGTTATGGGTAGTTCCTTTATGCAGGTATCTACCAATTCAAGATTTGACTTGAGGAAACCATGGAGGATTGCTTTAGAAGCATTCACACAACTTCTCGCTTGTGGATCGCTATCTTTGAAAAAGAAATAGCAGACAGTCGCACCAGCATCTTCCTCATGAAGCAGTTCCTCGATGAGGTATTTTGCGAGGACAGACTTGCCACAGCCGGCACTGGCCGAGACCAGAAGTAGGCCACCATCGCTGTCCAGCCAGTCTCTGAACCCAGGGTGTTGGCGAAACCATTGACAGGTCCCATCAAGTCGACGTCGAGTGGTGTTTAGACGAGTTTGATAATCCATTCCCTTCAGTTTGTGGAGGTATTCATTTCTGCGCCGATCTTCCTCGAGATCAACAGCCCTCGAATATCTCTCGCTGAAATGGGTGGTGACGGCCAGAAGTTTGGAACCATGAATCGTTTGTATGTTTCGCAATGAACTGTCTTCGGCTTTCTCGATGTTGTTGAGAAGGGTTTCCCACTGAGCCTGGCCAGAGATGGCTTCCCAGAAACGACTGAATTTTCCGCGATGGACTGAGCAGATGCTCAGCATTATGTACTTCAAAATGCCTTCGTAGAGTGGTTGGATGTTGGTGCGGATTGAACTGCCCAAGTCAAAGCTGAGAGCTCCATCCTGAAGAAGGTTGCCAGTCAGGTCAAAATAGATAGGCGCCCGAGCGTAGATATGTCTCAGGCCCTTGATCATACTCTGGTGTTGTTCTAGAGGCGCTGAAATTATCTGCCGGATGCCATGTTCAGCATTACGATGCCTCTTAAGGGAGTCGGGCGACTTCATGGAATACAGGCACAAGCTCCAGCCCAAGCTAGAGCTGCGGGTGGGTATTCTGATAGCATAGATCCCACAAACGAACTGAGTCCTTTTACGACGGCGAATACACCCAAGGTGGTATCCAGTGCTTGTTGAGCTTTCGTTGCGTCTTGCAAAGTACGATCGACTAGGCTGAGAGCATCCTCTACATTCTTTGGTTCGGGCTCCGAAGAGCTCTTTGGTTGTGTCGAAAAAGCTTGTTCTGATTAGGTCTTCAAGCCAGTACCATGAGCTGGACGGATAAGAGACGTTAGGGCGCAAACCTTGCTTCATGTGTTCCTTGAGAAGGCTGTCAAACAGAATGGCTGCTTCTTTCACTTCTTCATCCCTCATGACCGCCTCTAAAGCTCTGTGCCACATCTGCGTGACATGGCCATTCATGGAGGTGGTTGTGCCAGATACATCTCCCGTCGATTCATCGAACGGTGGCGACACGGCGGTCGAGGCCTCTGTAAGAGACAACGTAGCTTTGTTTTCGACGGAGTCTTCTGGAGCGGTGTTGGCGCCATCTGATAAGCTGTTCTTGATGCTGAGCACTGAAGAGGAGTCTCGGCTCGATAGCTCGGGGACGTTCAGATGAGACTTGCCAGAGGCAGATGATGGTCTTTGGACGAGCTTGCTGAGTCTCTCCCTGAACCTAAGTCCAGTGCGACTGCGGGGCGTCGAGGCGCCAGTCTCGCGCATCTTTGCGACGGGAATTCGGCCACAGGAGAGGGTGAAGAGGGGAACTTCCTGGTTCAAGATCAATCAGGCTGTGACCAACAGGCTGGACCCGCCAACATCCAAAAGCGTCGCCTGCAGGCCTGGCGGTTCGCATGGCCAACTGATTGGACTGAGCCCCTCAGCTCCCATGTTATTTATTCGTGCTACTTCGTTCAACGGGTCGTGATTCGTTCGCTGAGGCAAGAAACCGATCTTCATCTTGCCTTGCACCAGTCCAACAGATCGACATGCGCACTCAGGCTACTCATCGTGGTGTCCGCAAGGTCCGCCACGAGTGAGATTGCTCCTCGCAAATGTCAATTGAAATCAAGATATCTTTCTCAGAGAACGAAGCCCCTAATTTCAAAGTGCGAAGCCGAACGCAATGGTGTGTGTGATCCATCATCATGTGGAGCTCGAGTGGTGCTTCGAAGATGAGCGGCGGACATAGCTCAGTTGGGAGAGCGTCAGACTGAAGCGGGTCGCCGAACCTGGGAAACTTCATTCAATCAATCTGAAGGTCGTGTGTTCAATCCACACTGGCCGCATCTTCGCTTTTTGCTGTTCACGACGACTAGACCAGAACCATATCCACCCAGCTAGCCAAAAGTGTTGTTGGGGGGGAAAAAAAAAAGCATGCTGCCACGAACAGTAGAAGCCATGTGAAGAAAGAGTGTTACTAGAACGACTGGGTGTTTTATTGAATTACAGACAACCCGCTAAAAAAAAAAAGTAAAACACTGATTGATATCTAGTAGTGATGAAATAAAAACAACCTTCCTCAACTTTTGGATGTGAACAGCGAATTGGGATTGAAGTTGGCAACAGCAACTCTAGGGCCAGAGCAGCCACCGGGAAGTCAATTGAGTGCGCCGTAATTCCGCCCCACGCCGCCCGGGCCAGCAAACACGTCAGAGCACATGCCCCAACGCGCACGATCATCGCCAGCGACTCACCTACCTTTCTGGACACCACTCCCCACGCCCAGAACCAATACTCACGATGTCGCGAAGACCGGCAAAGGGAGACTACATTGAGACCGTAAGTGTCTAGTTCCTACGTTTACGACCGATCGCCGGAAACTGACCGGTCACCGCAGGACACGGGCAACAAAGTCGCCCGCAAGGCGACGCTCGTCGGCACCCAAAACATCATGCTAGGCGGTAAGACCGTCATCCAGCCCGAAGTCATGATCCGCGGCGACCTTGCACGATCAATACAACCTTCCGGTGGTGCGCCTGCGAACAATACTGCCGTCGCGATCGGTCGATACTGCTTCCTCTCGAGGGGAGCTGTTCTCCGGCCACCAGGGCGAATGTACAAGGGGTGAGTAACTTCCCTTCTGCCCTGCGCTACACCGGCCCCGATCGAAAGCCTTTTGACTGATCGCTTGCTGTCTGCAGTGCCTTCACCTATATGCCCCTCCGAATAGGCGACCACGTCTTCGTCGGCCAACACACAGTCATCCAAGCCGCTTCGATCGGCACCCACGTGCACATCGGCCGCGACTGCGTCATTGGCGAGTTCGCCATCGTCAAGGACTACGTTCGCATACTCGAGGGCACCGTTGTGCCTCCCAACATGGTCATACCGAGCTTCAGCGTTGTGGCGGGGCAGCCTGCTCGCGTGGTGGGGGAAGTGCCGGAAGGGGGACACGAGGAGTTTGAGCTGCGCGAGCTCTACAAGACGGTCGGAAACAACCCTCAGCCCTTGCCGATGTGATTTTCGGAGTCGATTGAGGGAGGTTTGCACAGAGCAAAGAGGGAATGCAGACAACGAGGACCTTGTGGCCATGTGTAGGAGGAGTCTTGACAGAGCTTACGAACCTCGGCACCGAAGCTTTTCCTCCCTGGTCAAAGGCGTTGTCGTCTGGCATCTCGAAGCGCGGTGGCGGGATATTGTCGCCAATGAGGCACATGAAACGGCGTTTGGCGAATTTATTGGGCCTAGAGTCCTTGAGATACCCAGTTTCGAGCAGTAGCTCAATATCATCATATTTATTGTGCGAAGATTGGCGCGTCAGTGGGTTGCGGCGACTTCGCCGATGGTACCAAGGAAATGGAAAACACGACATGCGACAGTTTCAAATCAAAAACTATGTTTCTAACGCTGCTCAAATAACAGCAACAATACTTCATAGGCCGCTTCTTGTACAGGGCTTTTGCCGCATATGTACACACAACAAACACCAAACTCGCTCAACACGCCACTCCTCTACGCCGCCTAATGCTCAGAACACTCATATCCTTCAGGGCTCGCCAGGCCAAATCGAGTCAGCAAGCTTCCTCACCAAGTCCAACTTCTTGACCATATCCTGGTGGGTGATCGAGTTGCCAAGGTGGTGGCTAGCAAATCCGCACTGCGGACTCACCCCAATCCTCTTCAACGCCTGCTCGCGGGTCTGGCCAGCCCCCTGCGCCACAAAGTCAGCCGCCTGGAACACCCGCTCCCGCATCTTGTTGAGGTCCTCGAGTTCGGGGAACTTGGACGTGATGACGCCCAGGATGACGTTCTTGTGGGCGGGCAGCTCCTTCAAGGGCTCGAAACCGCCGGCGCGGTCGGTGTCGTACTCGAGGAAGTACGTGTCGGCGTTGATCTCCTTGAAGAGGCGGGAGGCGATGCGGTCGTAGCCGCCCTCGGAGAAGTGGCGTGAGTAGGCGAAGTTGCCGCGGCAGAGGTGGATGCCGAGGTGCATGTCCGCGGGCCGGGAGCTGATGCTGTCGTTGTAGAGCTTGATGTAGGATTGCAGCAGGGCGTCGGAGTCTTCGCCTGCTTCTTTGAATCCTTGGAGCATCTTTTCTGAGCAGAAGTCTGGGTGGTTGTCAGTCATTGCTGTGGGCGAGATATTCAAGTATAAACTTACAAGCCAGATTGGGGTCGTCAATGGTGACGTTACGGACGCCGTGGTCGTATAAGACCTCCAACTCCGTACGGTACGCCTTGGCAATGTCGCCGAAGTACTCCTCGTCGTTGGCGTAGACATCCTTGGGGTATGCATGCCCCTTCTTGTATCTCAGGTGGTACCACTCAGGAGCGGGCAGGGTGAGCTTCGCGTCCTTGACCTTCTCAGGAGGAATGAGAGTCTTGAGGTACTCCCATTCTCTGAGATAAGTGCTGCCCTTGTGCTTGATCTTGCCGGTGCACAGGATGGACTCTCCTGGCTTGTGGTCGCTCTCGACTGGGTGACATGGTCAATCACAGAGTCCATTCTCACGTAAGAACCCGATGACTTACTAAAAGCCGCAATGTCTGGCACATACATGCGGAAGATATCCCAGCTAGGCGCAGGAACTTCCTCGAAACCTTCTAGACCAGGGAAGAAGTTGCCCCAAAACTGATGACGTCGATACTCTCCATCATTGATGGCATGAAAACCGAGGTCAAGCTGCGTCTTGACAATCTCACGAACACCCTCCTCCTCCAGACGGTTCAGTTCCTCATCCGCAGCAATCTCAACAGCCTTCTTCTCATCCAAAGCAATGCGCTTGTCCGTGAGAGCTTTGGGTCGCAACAGCGAGCCCATGTGCTCCGCGCGGAAGGGTGGTCTCTGGTGGTTTTTGGTAGCCATGATGGACTTCTCGACAGCTGAACTTAGGAATTGCATCCTCCAAAAGGTAAACCCGAGCAGGTCGGGAGCTTGGGACTTGATTTAAAGAATCGAACTTGGGGCTACCTTGTTTCCGAGCGGAATGGCACCCTTCGGCAATGCGAAATCTAAACAAGCCCAAAAAAGCTACCTGATATGAATGGGACCATTTGACCGGGGATTTTAGAAGCATGCGGGCAAAACCCGCCATACTTCCCGCCCTTCAGCCGCCACCCCTCGTGTCAACGATGTCATGCCGTTCCATCTTCACCACACATTCCCAAGCTTCGCGCCCACCTTAACCCCCGCTTTCCCCGCCCTTTGTCATAGCTGACGAGGGGGCCAGTGCTCTTGGAGACGGCAAATGGCAAAGTCCGGTAGCGGCCGCTTAATCACGATCCTGTCTTCTTCAATGTGGGCAGTTCTTACCCAGCGGTCTGTTGGTGTTTCTTGCTGGCAAGGGTGGATGTTCCAAGATGTTTCTTTTCGGAAGGGAGCACTGCATGTGCCGCAGCGGCACTGCGGTGGAGAATGATGCGGTTACTGATTGTGGAATAAGCAAGTACTTGCACGAGGGTTGCGTCGGCTGAAGGAAGCCAGGATTGTGTAATTGCTGACTGAATTTCACCGTTCGACTAATTTTGGGACTTTGGTTTTATTGCAGTCAAGAGATGGTTGTCTATGGCAACTTAGAAGTTGAAGCTTCATGAGCTGTGAGACGAAGGCCGGAAGGGAGCTCCGGAGCTCTTATCGTTTTCGGCCTTATCGGGAAGCTACAGTTGGGGTGGGGGGGTGGTCCTGTGGCGATTTAGGGGTTCCTGTGGTTGGACCGAAACCCCGCGATGACATGCCGCTTTTCCTCTCCCGGTCTGCTCAATTTCGCCGACTCAAAGTCTCGAAAGACGCGCTTCAGCTTTCAGAGAGCTTCAATTATCTCGAGAACATTTCAGTCATCTCGACTGATCTTCTCAGTCTAATCCGAACCGTTGTTTGAACCGCCTCAATCGCTCCGTCTGATCTTGAAACTCGCCTCGGCCAAAACCTTCCCGTGAAACAGAGTTCCGCGATCTGCATTGCAGAACCTCAACAACGCAACTTCATCAACTCTTGCCCAGCTTGCATCTAATCAGAATTCGGCAGTATTCACCAGCGAAATAGTAGCCGACCATGGCCGTCGCTATCGACGATCTCCCGAATGAGATCTTGGCCCAAATCTTCACCTACCTCGATCGCCCCGCGCCCTCCGACTCGAAGCTTCACGACCAGCCAAGCTCGCTGATGCTCCAAAACCCCTTCTTTGATAGAGATCTCAAGAACGTGTCCGTGGTTACCAAGCTGTGGAGGGCCGCGGTGCTGCCTCTGCTCTTCCGCCATGTCGTCTGGACAATCGACCGCTTCGAACTGCCGCTCATAGAAGAGACGCGCGACCCGGCCGCAACAATCGATTTCCTCCGCTTCCTTCGAGACAACAACCTGACGAACTATGTCACCACCGTGACTATGTTCGTCGAGGACGCCTTGGGGGGCGTGGCGACATCGCATCTCGCCAGCAGCGTCGAGCTCATGGAGTCGGGCCACGCGAATAAGGCGTCGTATAGCGAGGATTACAACTGGCTGTGGAGGACGCTGTTCGAGCATGTAGATCCCGTAAGGCTGAGCATAATCGCATCGCCGCGGGTTTTGGCTCAATTGCTCTCGCGAATGCTCTTCTTGGGGGATGCGTGGAACTTCGACATGCCGCAGCATATCCTGTCTCTCTCGCGGAAGAGCAAGAAGGTGGTCACGAGCAAGTACAAGTCAAAAGCGACTGCGTCCTCATCGAGGGACGCACCATCTCCTGAGAACCCACACCAGAAACGAGTTCCATGCGACCTTTTCACTATCCGACCTTGGCAAAGTCTACTTCTCAACGAGGGCTCGTCAACTCGCGTCTACAAGACGTACGAATACTACCTCAAGCGCCCACCTTCAATGCTCGGCGCCCTTCTCGGGGCGGAAGAGTTCCCGAACGATGAGCCCCTGATTGCGCCTTCCATCCGTGACTTCTCCTACGTCGGCATCTTTCCGCTATCCAGCCACTTCAACACCCTCGTCCAACACGTCCCTCGCCTCGACCGACTCTTCGTGCAGCTCGTTCCTCGAAACGACATCCTCCAAGACGCCGACGAGATGCGCAACATCGACATCGCCGATTTGTGGATGGAGCGGAACACGTCTTACTCCATGCTCTTCCGCGAGCTATTCGACCCCGACCCAGACAGTCCTTGGCTCGAGCTCAAGACGTTCGAGAGCGGCGATGCGGCGGACCGAGAAGCGTGGGAGATGGCCGTGCAGTTCGTCCAGTTCAGCGGCGTGCAGGGATGGAAGGTCGAAAGCGAGGGCGTCTTCGTTCGGGAAGGGAACGAGAGCGGGCCGATCCTCGGGATGTCTCAGTCAGTGGTGCCGGAGTCATCATGATCTTTATTTCGGTTGCTAATAATGTGCAAAAAGACTGCCGGGTCAGCTTAGACGGTGGGCTTTCAACGGGGTCGCTACACTGCCGGTATCCAGCGCGATGCTTTACATGGGAAACGGCGGGCCGTAGGTATTATGTTTAATGTAGCATGTCGCAGGCTCCTCTTTGCAGTCGTGACCACGTATTTCACTGCGAGGGTAGTGTACCCGACCGTGTAAGTCCTACTATCACACGACAGCGAATGTGATTCTTTCAACGATGACCAGCAGCTCATGGAAGTGTTATGGAAATTTGTGGGCTGTATAACAGGCTGTCCGCAGCCCAACTTGGCGATGAGGCTGACTACGCCAAGGCTTGTTCGCGGACGTTCTATCCAAACAAGCCAATGATGATCGTGAACAGCACATCTCAGCCTGCGCGACGGAGTGAGACCCTGAGCGACGCTAATTTGGGATGGGCGAAATCCATCTGCCTGATGTGCAGACCCTTCCCAGCTATTGACAAGGGCGAAATCCTTAGTTGCACAAAAGTACCGACCTTCTCTCCACAGCCGCACCCTGCGGTTCAGCTGGGAGCCGCCACGGCGTCTAACGGTGTCACTCTTGTGTCTCACGCAGAACTCCTACCGCAGCCTGACTTTTCCATGGAATCTTCCCCGTTTCTCACCCATCGCTCTACGGAGCGACTCCTGAGGCCGAGAAGCGACGATGCGTCATGCCCCGTTCATCTTTCTCACTGCCGTGGCAGGCATCACCGCGGTCCAGGGGACGTGTTTCGTCCCCAACGGCACGGACAGACACGCCCTGACCAACATTGAAAATAACCGGTACGAGCCCTGCGAGGGCAACGGGCACAGCATGTGCTGCAACGTCGTCAGCGGGGACAAGTGCCAGGCGGACGGGCTGTGTTGGAACGAGGGCGGGCGGTTGACGTGGCGGGAGAGCTGTACGGATCCGACGTGGCAGTCGCCCAAGTGTGTAAAGCTTTGTGTATCGGATGATTATCGTGAGTTTCTCCTCCTTTGAGCTGGCGTGGATGTGTTGCTGGGCTGGTGGGTTTTGGCGCGCTAACGATGAGGATGGTAGAAACCGAAGGCGTGGGCGCGACGGGGACGGATATTGTAGTTACAAAGTGCGCTGATGGGAGTTACTGCTGCGGAAACAATAAGAATGCGACGGACTGCTGTACTGCGGGGAAGGGTGTGAGGATTGTGGATGGGGAGGTTGTCACGACGTCTTCAGCTACAGCATCCGGTTCGACGACTACCTCAACGTCTTCATCCATACCTACGACCTCCTCAGCCGCCAGCAGCAGCTCGGAGCCTTCTAGCAATCAAGCAGGTGTTATTGGCGTTGCGGTCGGTGGAGGAGTTGGGGCAGTGGTCCTTGCCCTTGCGGCTTGGTTCTTTTGGTACAAGAGCAGGAAGAGGAACACGGGAGCACGCGGAGATGTGGCGGACATGACGCAGAGTTATGTCGCTGTGAGCCAGGAAGCGAAGTATCCGACTGTGGTGGAGGCTCCGAGTTACTATCCTCCTGTCGAGATGCCGGGAGAGGGGCATCCTGTTGAGCTGGGGTCGGAGTCTATGAGGCCGCCGAGTCGACGATGATTTGGTCGGCCATGTCTTTGAAAGACGTACGTTGGTCAGAGAGCGGGATTGAAACAGCTTTTCCTAATGTTCAGAAGTGATGCAAAATTGTTTTCGGTAAAGCCAGAGGCGTCAAGTGACCACATCTTTATTGTTAGCATTTCCGTTGTATTTGCGGTGTGACTTCGTGGGTCAGAACTCGCGAAAGTGATCAGTGAAGCTCCCTCCCCGCCGAGTACTTGGTCCCTCTCAACTTGTTTTCGAAATTGATACTGGAAGAGCTGTTTTGAAGGTCCGTTGAGAGCGCCCAGCGGCGGGTTACTCGTTCATACGTGGCAGAAGAATATTTCGCTGATTGTTACAAGTTTCGGGCCAGGGCAAATTTGCATCAAGCATTTCCGACTTTTCATCGCCTTCGCTCGTGAAAATATACTGAGATTGCCAATCTTCTGAAGGCGGCAACTAAAAGCCGGTGCAATTATGTGAAGAACGACAGGGGAAGCGGACGCGGTGGGATGGCATCATATTCCGTCATATCGCCAAGTGCCCACTTGGGCGCGCCTTCCACCAGCAAAAGCCTTGGTGGTAGACAATATTCTCTCCGCCATGGTGAGCCTGCTTCGGTTAATATCGCACTCTTCCCGATTCATACCGGCGGGGAGAACAACTTCACCTTCCTTGTCTGGTAAACAGCTGTCTGCCAAGAGGTTACAATGCCATGCGTGCCACGGCGCGATGATTGACGCTATGGCGGGGAAGCCTTGCACCATCATCATTCTCGACAATAGAATGCTCACTTTCTATCTGGTGAGTCTGAAAGACCCTAGACTTTTCGAATACCGAGTTGAGAATACCGTGACTCCCCGATTTCGGGCCCCGCGAGGATTCAGCGTATATGAATGGGCTCAGCCCAGGGTAGATGATGGTTAAATGAGATTGCGCCTGTGACCACGACGAGACGAATCCAAGCCACCATTGGGCCTCGTCCTCTATCCACAAGATGCACTTCCTTAGAAGCGTGGCCGTTGGATTGCTCCAAGCAGGCCTGATATCGGCGCAGACAAAGTACGCGGACAACCAAGTTCCGGTTTCCAAGGACAGCGAACTCGTCTCCAAGCTCTTCCCCGATGTAGAAGGCGTCGAGCTACTCTCGCATGCGTTCGCGAATGATGAGACTGTCCCGGATGGATGGACCAGCGGAACGTCTGGTCCTACATCGCAAGACACGCTGGGTTGGTAATGCTGAAACTCAAGAACAAGGCGTGTGCTAACACATCGTTCAGAATCTTTTCTGGAAGGTATCGCAGACCAACATCCATGGGCAACCTACCACATCCCGTTCACCTCCGAAGATGACCGCTCAATCCCCTACCTCAACCTCTCGTCCGGCTCCTCGACAGCCAAGCTCCGCATCTGGCTCCAGGGAGGCGTCCACGGCAACGAACCCGCAGGCGACCAAGCCATCCTCGCCCTGCTAGCCAAACTCGCCTCCAACGAGACATGGACAGCCTCCGTCCTCGAAAAGGCCGACATCCTCGTCTTGCCGCGGTATAACCCCGACGGCGTAGCCTACTTCCAGCGCGAGCTCGCTTCAAACCACGACCCGAACCGCGACCACGCCCGCCTCCAGCGCCAACAGACCCGCGACGTCAAGACCCTCCTCTCCGCGTTCGACCCGCACATCTTCCTCGACGCGCACGAGTACACCGCAAGCCAGCGGCTCGGCGCCCAGGGCCAGTGGCTCAAGGCGCAGGACGTCCAGGTGTCGCACGTCAAGAATCCCAATATCCACCCGGCCATCCGCGCCCTCGGGGAAGGCCTCTTCCTGCGTGCGATCCAGGGCAGGGTGCGGAGCCATGGCCTGCGGACTAGCGCGTACTTCACAGCCGGCGGCGGCACCGACCTTCCCGTCCTCACGGAGCCGAGCTCCGTCTCCCGCGCGGGGCACAACTCCGCTGGTCTCCTGCAGGCGGTGTCCTTCCTCACGGAGACACGGGGGATCAGGCTTGCGGACCAGCACTTCCAGCGCCGCGTCGCCGCAGGGTTACTTGCGGTTGAGACCCTTCTCCAGACCGCCGTCGACAACGCCGAAGAGGTCTACAGCACCATCGAAAACGCACGGCAAGAGTTCACCGCCGGGACAGAAGACATCATCGTCACCGACCACGCGCGGACGACAAACACAACATGGCCCTTCATCGACGCCCGCAACGGCACCCTCGTCCACGTCCCCGTGCAATTCCGCAACAGCACGCCCACCGCGCCAGACCTCGTCCGCGCCCGCCCCGAAGCGTACATCTTCCCCCGCGCGTGGGCCGCCGTCGCCGACAAGCTGCGCACCCTGGGCGTGGAGGTGGCGGTGCTGGAGGAGGACTTTGTCGGGGTAGCGGAGGTCCTCACCGCGGAGAGCGTCACCCTCGCGAGTTCCAAGAACGAAGGCGTCGTCGAGAGCACCATCACCACAACGACGAGCCGCAGGACAGTGAGGGTGCCGAAGGGCGGGTTCCGCGTGAGCACGCGGCAGAAGAACGCGGCGTTTGCGTTTGTCCTGCTGGAGCCGGAGAACAACGCGAGCTTGGCGCGGTACAATGTGATTAACCTGGAGGAGGGCGATGAGTACCCCGTGTTTCGGGTGCTTGCCGGGCAATAGGATCAGGCGGCCGGGGTGTCTCCGCAGTCAAGCATGGATCGGAGGCCGCCGGTCTTTCGGTGGTGGGGCCGGCTCGGCGGCGGTAGGTTGGTGGCACAGTCCGGGTATTAGCAAACTCGCGGCACTCCGGATAATAATCAGGCACAAGCTCAATCTCACTGCATTAGCTCCCCCGTGCCCGTCTCCAAACCCGAAGTCTTCTCCAAATTTCTGAAAATCCCGTGGGTTTTTTTTCAATAGAGTAGCAGCACTAACAGAGTCCGCCCCTCCACCATGAACGCCCACCGCAAGCTGACACCCAATCATCCCGGCCCCCTCACAACGTCTCCAAACGTACACCTCTCCAAATAACACCAATCACCCAAAAAGTGTCCACCAGAACCTCAGACATTTGCCCACGTTGGATGCTGCAACAGAGCTGCCACCCTTGCAGTCACCAAACAATTGAAAAGAGACCAAGTAGGAGAAATTTTGGAAACAGAAACATTTGCACAAACATTGTGCATGTCACGCCCGCGTCCTGGAACGCGACGATGATGGGGGAGGATGTGACTGACTCCTGCATGCTTACACGGCGGTTGATCGGTTTGCACGTCACGCTTTCTCTGAACCCCCCTATTTGTGCTGTTTCCATTGATCGATGACAATGTGAGTCAAAGACGATAAAGGGACGCAATGCTCCCCTTGTCCTTTCCCATTCTTCTTCTTCCTTGTCGCCGTGCCTCAATTGTTCGCGAACTTCGATTCTCTTCCACAACTTCATCTTTTATCTCTGCGAGATATCTTCACTTCTTATAAGCCGAGCCGGACTCACTTCCATCACCCACTTAACCTTCAACTCCCCAATCACACAAAACTAAACCAAGCCGACCAGCAATCTCGCCCAAGATGCATCCCCTCTCATTCCTCCTGATCCTCTTCGCAACCTCTGCCACCGCCCTCCCCGCGACGCCCGCCTCGCCAACGCCTTGCACGATGTCCCTCCCCACAGACGCCTCCCTCACTCGCCCCCCGCCGCGTCCCTTCCGTCCCACCGACGCTCCCTCGGCCCCCTCAGACGAGGCCACAGACCCGACCCCATCCCCAATCTACACCCTCCTCCCCGTCCCCTCCAACTCCTCCTCCTCGGCCTCAAACACATCCGCCCCCTGCTCCCGCCGCCCCCTCCGCCTCGGCCCCGCGCGCCTGCACAAGAAACCCTCCCCCTCCTCCGCATCCGAGGCCCCAGCAGCGGTCGCGGGCGTCGCAATCGCCGCCGCCGCCGCCGCAGAAACGCCCACCTCCGACGGCCCCCGCGACTACGCCTCCCTCATCCCCCCAGCCCCCGGCGTCACCCCGCGCCCGGAGCCGAACCTCGCCGAGATGGGCTACTACCAGACCACCTACTGGTCCTGCGCGACGCGCGGCACGTCGAGCCACTGCGGCTGGCACCGGCCCATCATGGTCGCGCCCGCCAACGCCGCCGTCAACGCCGCCGCTGCCGCTGCGCCGAGGAACTTCGGGCTCGGTGCGGCGGCGGTGGCCGGTCTCGTGGGAATCCTCATCGCCGGATGAACCGTCACTCAACCCCCTGAACCAGCAAAACAAAAAACGTCTGAGCGGCTAGCCCCGTCTCTGTCAGCCACCAAGTCCGCGCGCGCCGAGCGATAGAAACGAAAAGCCTCGGCAGGACCCGTGATGGAGCCAGTTCGCCGTTGGCAGCAAACGACCCTTTTGCCCACGAGGGAATCCGCCGCGGCGCGACCGATGGCGGCGTCCTGTATCGTCAAAGCGTCGACGCCACCGCTCCTTCGGCCCTTCTCCTGTTTCTGTTTCTTGTAAGATTCGTGAATCGGCCCTCCCTCGTAAAGGAGTCGGCTCGCCTCCCTGATGAAAGGAGGCAGATTCGCACATGCACAGCCCAGCCGGCTGGGCTACGATGTTATGACCATAGACCGAGAGCACACACGTTGCATGCATGTCGCGACCGGACCCTTCCCCATCCTCCCACAGCAACACGTGGACGAGGAAGAGGAAGAGCGGTTGTTTCCAGACAATCTTGTACATCATTTCAATACAACTATAGAAAGGGGGAAGAATGAATACTACCTGTTTGGCCCTCGTCTCCCCTGAAAACAAATAAAAAAGTGACAGTTAATAAAAAACAGGTAAAAAGAGGACCACGTTCTTTTCTCGCCTTCTAAAAAGCTCGGGTATTTCAGAACACACAACATGGAATAGAAAGAAGTTTGTTAAAAAAGAAGAACACAAGACGCAACCCCCAAGAACAAGCGCATGATGGTGAATGACCGCCCCTTTTTCCCGTGCTTTCTTCCCTCTCCGGTCTCCCTTGGATAGTTCAAAGCGTTACATGAAGAGTGTTTTTGGGTTAAAAAAAGTCCATTGCGGGACTGGTGGTGGTTGGCGGTGGTGATGGGATGATCCGCCGCTGCCGAGCATAGGATGCGTAAGCCCCCAAGCCCGCCTGTGTCTCCCAGCGTGGACTCAGTCAGCTGCGCGCTACTCGCTGAGGGCATCTTTTCCTGCGTCCGTCGCCCGAGCCGCGAAGGAAGGGGGCGAATGAGGATATATGGCACGGTTTCCGCCCTCGACGGGGCTTGGGCCAGGGACGGTCGACGCCCCGACATGTATTCTGAAGTGACGTGCGGAGTCGGAAATGGCGAGGAGATGGGGTACAGGTTTTGTTTGGTCGGGACTGGTGGCGGAGTAGTAGGCGATGGCAAGTTTCGTTCGTCAAAAAGGAGGAAATCGGGTGGCGGATTGGATGAGGTGGTTCGGGTCGTGACTCGTCGTTTACTTCTTGGCCGGGGCGGGGGGCGCCTTGACGTTGTTAGACAGCCAGGCGAGACCCTCGAGGAGGCCCTCTCCGGTCGTCGCGCAACTGGGCACGACGTACCAGACCTTGTCTTTTAACTTGGACAGCTGGAGGGCCTCGGTGACTTCTTGCGGCTTCATGGCTGTGTGGTGAGGTGGTCAGTCTGCGCGTTCTCGATGCCGAGTGGGGACGTGCGTTTCTGAACTCACCTCCATTGATATCCTGCTTGTTCGCGAACACCAGCAGCAAGCTGTCCTTCATTTCGCGATCGTTGATGATCCTGTGCAGCTCGGACTTGGCCTCCTCGATTCTCGCGCGGTCGGAGGAGTCGATGACGAAGATGAGGCCCTGGGTTCCTGTAGAATAGGGGTCGTTAGCGCAGTTCGCGAGAGACAGTTGGGCAAAGCAGGCAGGCAGGCAGGAGGGGGACTCACCGCTAAAGTAATGTCTCCAGAGGGGACGGATCTTGTCCTGACCACCGACGTCCCAGACGTTGAACTTGACGTTCTTGTAGGTGACGGTCTCGACGTTGAAGCCAACGGTGGGGATGGTGGTGACGTCCTGGCCGAGCTTGAGCTTGTAGAGGATGGTGGTCTTTCCGGCGGCATCGAGACCCAGCATGAGCAGGCGCATCTCCTTGGATCCGAAGATCTTGCCCATCATCTTTGAGAGTTGGCCACCCATTGTGACGGTCGGTTGTGCGTGTCGTGGAGTCGGAGTTCGTCAGACGGTCGGCGGGTTGTAGAGAGTCGGCGGTTGTCAAACTGGCGTGATGTGGGTTGGTTGAGGCTCGAGTGGTTTTGGGAAAGGGGACGGGCGTCGCAACGTATGATGGATGACTCCTGTGTTTTTTCAGGCAAGGTCGGGACGGGCAATTGATCGCCTGGGATTCGTCGTCGCGCGCGCACACTCGGATTGTGCGGTCGTCGGTGTTTGAGGGGGATAAAGAAGGAGTGGAAGGGTTGAGGCGGTATGTGTAACGGAGAGAAGCTATCGCGGCTGCAAAGAAAGAAAAAAAAGCAACCTTAGTTTGCGATGTGTTGCTAGGTGTTTGCCGAGTCGGGGACGGGGATCGGAGGTTGGGGTCGAAATGGAGCAGCAGGACCGCCCGTCATCGCCGCACTTTCCTAGTGTCACACTCACTTCACACTCGTACCCACGCGTCCACACTTTCACACACGTCAGGTCTCCAGTCCAATCACATTCACTGTACGTAGCCGGCTCTGGCTCTGTTGGGCTGTCGCTCGGGCGTCTTGGTAGCAGTGCAGTCCCTACCTAACCCAACATATGTGCATCCGTAAAGGCTTGTGACCTCTGCCAGGGGGTGCGATGCAGGTGCAGGCGCAGGTGCAAAGCCAAGGCGCACGTATCATAAACGGGCCAATTGGCAGCTATATTTGGGCCCAAATTAATGCTCCCGTCTTCCGAAACGAAGGTGAGCAGAGAAAGAGGTGTGCAGCCGAGCGTTGTTTGCCTGCTGCCCGTCTAGAGATGCCTTTGGTTGGATTGATCGACTTTGGGGGTCATCCATGCGTTTCATTCATTCAACCGCTGTGACACTGTCTGTCTCTTGCGAAGACACAGCACACAGCTCGACCGTTGAACTTTGAGGCTGACTGTCTTTTTTTTTTTTTTCCCTTTCTTCTCACGCAGGTTGAGATGGTTCAGGGGCATTTCCAGTTCCAGTAAGGGTCGCAGAGCTGGATCCTCTTCTTCAGGGCGCAACACGACCTCGCTCATTACGACTGATCACCAGGCGAGGGAGGGCATTGGGCAACGGACATCACCATCTGGCCGTCCCGTCCATCAACCAACCTCTCCAAGAGTCCAAATCCTCTCTCCCCTCATCTCGTTCATCGGCAGCCTCGCCATTATCGCATCTGCGCTTGTGGGGGCCCCTCTGCCCATCTCCTCAGGAACTGCCCACCAGTCCACCACTATCCGCGGACAATCCACCTCTTCCCGGGGGAAGAATCGATATTGATCTCGTCTAGGCCTCTTTTGGAACAACATCTCTAGCCACCGCCACACCCTTCCGCATACCCAAGATAAGGTAGTCCCCCTCCTCCCAACACATGCATGACATGACAGGTCTCAACTCAAAAGAAGCTCTACGCGAAGGAGAACAAGTGGTGTGGCGCGTGACGGCCCACGGTGGGATGAGCACCAGATCGGGTCTAGCTGAAATGAATATCGACTGGAATATTGCTCCTCAGGCCGGAGATTTCACTCAGGTACGAAATACGCGGTGCCCGCTGCACAGGCACCGCTGCCGCTCCAGCCCAAACGGAGAAGTTGCAAATTACAACGTACCAATGAACGCCCTGAGGTACCTGATCTCTCTCCCACGGTGGAACCCAAACAAACAGGGGGCCCCTGACCCTTTTCTATGTTAGGCCTAGCGCCATCTGCACGTCCCCGACGCTCGCTCCGGGCTCCCTCCTCCCTCCGAGTCGTTGAGAACCGTCTCCGAACCGTCCTTCACGGCTGACATCTTGGCGTGACATATGCGCGTGATTGATGACAATGAATCGTGTGGCGTAGTAGTTCTAGAGGAGACCCTCTAACGGTCGAGCAAGGCTTTGTTTCTTGTTTCATGTTTTTCTTACTACTTCTCTTAAAAATGCTCTGCTCAAAGCCCGTTTCATCGTCATCCAGTTTCAATTTGTGGCCATGTCGGACGAACATGCGTGATGCAGAGCCGCAAACACAGCGAGGCAACCCTCCAGGTCAATTTAGCAATGAATAGTCATGGTTCTAGAACATGGCATCGAATTCTACAGCCCAAGAATTCCCCGTCTACCTCTTAGGGAGGACCTTGTAAGTGACACCAGGGGCCGCAAGGGGGCAGACGATGTACCAATGACGTACTTCGTGGCCCACGACAGAGGTGTCGTCACTAACACACGTGAGGAATGCGATTCTTCAACTTTCGCCGTCACTAATCCCAATGGGACTGGCTTCCAGCGGTTCAATTCACCGCGAATATTGATAGGCTCCGAGCTGACGTCTAGTAAGCAAAGGTGTTACTTGTCGCCTGGGTCCTGTGATGAATGCTTGTAATGTTGCTGTGCTCGAGGATGAGATCACCGCAACAAATGCTGCGAAATCATGGTGGAGATAGTTTGTAGCAAATCCGGATATGTGATTGTGTTGCCTTTTGCATGTGGCTGAAGGCTACCTTGTTGTAGACGCAATGACATGTTCACACTTGGCGAACGACACGCAAAGGGATATGACGCTTATGGTCATGATAGTACCAAGCTGACCACCTACCTGGAAGCTCGAGTATTCAAACATCTTCCCGTCCTCTTCCAATGGCGATGATGACTGAATGTCCCAGAGCTGTAGGTATCGATAACACGGGCTTTCCAGACTTAATAAGCGTTGTTGTTTATGGTACTTGCGACAGCTTTTTCATAGCCCCCTCTGGCTTGCTATGAGTTGCGCTTCGAGATGACATGCCCTCTCACTGTACCGTCTGGGGAGACATCGCATGAGTTGAAGGGGTATTACAGCGTGTTCCTCTTACAAGCTCTGTGATAGGAACCTAGATTGATAGTTTGAACATGGGTTAGGAGATAATAGAGGATAAAGGGCAAGATAGAAAGTAGGAATACGAGCGAGATGGGCCATAACAGACCATATTGAAGGTCTAGAGGCTCTCAATGCCGTGCCATTGATGTGGACCGCGGGAAGTCGTCAGCTATTGAATGGCGCCGATATGTAGGTTGGTTACCAAACATCTAGACTCCGCTCACATCTGTTACTGCTCGCTTTCATTTTAAGCTGAAGCAATACGTCGAATTCTCGAATAAGTGACCAGCTGAAGTTGTATTTGAGAGAACCAATGGTGATGGGCAGTTGGTGGGATGGCTTGGTGCAGACTCTGCCCAAATCTGCTGTTCAAGTGCACCCGCACTATTGTTTCCATTCGCCCCCCTCCCTCTCTCTCTCTCTGCGAAGCCGAACACATATATCGTTGAGACAGTCATCGGTCGCACAGAAGTGCGATGTCCACTTCAAGCGCCACCAATACTCGGCATACCGAAGTGTTCAGCTGGCCGGAAGGGCATGGGTTAGCTTGCTGGTTGCCGGAGTTCTTACCAGCCGACAGAGAGTCCTGTTCGGCCGAAGCCAGCTGAAGTACCGAACAACTCTTCGCTCCTGCACCACGCGAGGAGTGTATCGGCTTTCGTGGCCGGGCGTCTCCAAGAGAACCCATCTTGTTTTCACGTATTGGTGTCCCAAATCGTCCAATCACCTGGGTGGCATCCTCAAAGGGGGTTGAAGTCGAAGTGATACATGGGAAGGTTTGCCCAAATACATGCTTGAAAACTAGGTGAAGTGTTGTAGAATCAAATGAAAACAAGAACTTAAGACGCAGACTGCTGAAAACTCCAGAGCAAAGGGGGTGAAGCGGGGGGCCACTCCCATTTTGTCTGAGTAGTTCCTTGAGAACCAAAAGAAAACTTGGACCAGCAAAAACTCAGAAATGCAGATATTGAGGTGGGGAGTCGCTTCCTTTTCGTTCAAGATTCCTTATGCTCGTGCTCGCGAGCCAACACGGAGACCGAGCTGTCCGTCTGTCGCGAGCATCGTGCCCCACCAGCGGCAACCGGAACACACATCAGCTGCCTAGACGGGGCGACAAGACCCGATTGCCGTACCCATCGACCCCCGGCTTTCCCCGCTCGTACATCTTCGAAGAGCGTTTGGAATCATTCTTCTCCATCTGGGTTCTCGGTAGGGTGTTCCCGGAGTGTGCTCCCACGTACTTGGTTAGATTGCCGGCACTGCGGAGGAACCACGACAAGGTCCTTGGCTCGACCAGTCTTGAGGATCATGACATGGGGCGAACTCCACGAATTGCTGTGATCGGTGCTCGCTTATGAGTCAAATCTTTGCTCACTTCTCGTAGCATCACGCCCTGTTTGAACTTTCAGCATCATATAGCAAGGACGAGTCGAAGAATCCCAGAAAAATGTCGACAGCATGACTAGGGCACATCCACATACTGAGCTGCTGTAGATCAAGACTGTTCTGAGGGTATGTAAATGTCGGGGAACAGTACAGTGTGTTTCACACAAGATCACACGTTGAGTAACGATACTGGCTGTAAAACTGCGAGTAATTGTAAACCTTTCCTTTAGGTCTCTACTGATTGGTCCATGCTTGGAAGTGCGGGGAGGAAATACCCTTGGTAAAACTGTAGTAGAGGCTGGCCATGACTCCTGACACCGCTTGTATTCAGTTATTGAATTTTCCTATGGGTGTGACTAGAAACGATTAATGCGATACACTTACATTAACTTCTCGCTCGGTTCAATGTCACTTGTCTCTTGTGCCAAGCGGTTCATCCAATCCCGAGTACATGTCAACCCCCTCGCGGACTAAACCCACCAAGTAAATGGCGTGTGGAAGCATTTCACAAGTTTGATGGCCCGCGGCCCGCCTTATGCGTCAGCAGCTATCATCTTCGCTCTCTTCCATGAGCCCACGATTACAGGCGAACCTTGCAGATCCTGTCTACCAAGAGGAAAATACCGAAAAGCTCGGCAACAGATTCCAGAAACGGAAAGGGCCTCAGTCTTGGCCAGACGTCGCGCCCCCTGTTTTGAAGGCATGAAATATTCGAGCCTTGCATCGAGACGGCCTCGCGATACTCCGTCGTGACCGAGTGT